ATTTTCCCCCAAAATAAAGGAACTTGGTTGTTTGTCATGAATCACATCATCATATTTATATTATTTTTAGTGGAAGAAAGGTGAGAAAAATGATCATTTTCACTAAATCAGTACCAAATCTGTAGTGATTATTGTATGAAGTTTATATAAAATACAAGGCAGTGGTTGTGTCGTGGTCTTTGGTTCTGTTTTTAGTGTATTTAGTGAAAATCCTTTGTATTTTTTTCATATGTTTGACTTTTACCCTTTGTCTGTTTCCCTCCTCTTTTGATTTATTTGTCTTGTTTCCCCAATTAGCTCTTTGTGTCTAAAAAGTCTTGTTTCTCTTTTTCTTCACCAGTTTGTCTGTTTACTCACGTTGTGTTTATCTGCGTGAATTCTTCCTCAGCTGATTCTAGTTTGTACATTCAGTTCTTTGAATCTCGTTGTCCTCCAGATAACGAAGAAACTCAGATTCCAGAGGAAGGATTACAGTCTAAAAAGATGTTTGTTATACGATTGTGTCAACAGTGTTTGTGTAGTTGTTCTCAGTGCAAGTAGGTGGAAACAAAACTTCTGTTGAAGCCACTTGTTTTAAACCACTTTTCTTGGTAATAAGATAACATGAGTGGAATGACAACAGTCTGATGATGTTTGCTTCCAAGTGTCAACTATTTTTTGGCAATAAACACAAATGTGATGTTTTTACAGGGGAAAAATAAGTTGTTGGGTTTTTTTTCAACAATGAGGCAGTTGTTTATTATAGAATACAGAAAGTTATCTGATAAACATCAGCCTGAATTGACCACACAGTAAATGACAATGAGAGATTGAGTTCTATGTTAAATAGAAATGATCAATGTCCTTTTACGTTGTCCCTTCAGAGAAACAATATCTGTTGCCACAGCAGTACAACAATATCATTGACAAGCCACAATTCCCACAAAACCCTGAGTGACTCCACAGGTCCACAGCGCCCCCTACAGGTCACCCAACACTGATGCTTTCAGTTCCCTTGTGGGTATTTGTACAGCTGTCTCACTCACCTGTATCACTGTGTTCAGTCACAGAGCAGAAATAAACTCCACTGTCTTCAGGTTGCAGCTTCTCCACCGTCAGAGATCCAGTCAGAGCATCTTTCTTTGTGGCTGGAAATTTTTCTGCATTGAATCCACTTTCATATTGTTGTTGGGAATTTGGAGTTGTGTAAACAATTTGCTTCATCATCTCCCCTGGCAGCTGTTGGTACCAGTACATGTGCCAGTATGAGCTGCCTTTAGTGTGGCTGCAGTTCATGGTGGCAGATTGACCCTGGACCATCCACAACAATGGAGTCTGAGTAACATCACTTCCATCAGTCAGACCTGTG